GCCGGATATGCTCTTTCGTGGTCTCAATTTGTCTGATAATTCTTGCAATTAAACTTTCCAAAACAGGACCTCTGTTGTCATGCAGGAGATGTATCTCATCAATTATAAGAAGTTTAACAAGCTGTGTATATGTACGATCACCCGACTTTCTGGTTATGATATCCCATTTCTCCGGAGTTGTCATAATAATTTGAGTTTCTTCAATCCGTTGACGAGTTAGTGACTGATCTCCACTCAATTCTTTCACAGTGACACCATAGTGTTCCAAACGCCTGGAGAGATTCCCAACTACTTGAGCAGCAAGGGCTTTCTTTCATTGGCGCCACATAGACAATCTTATAATTGTTATGATTGAAAGATCCATCTTCCTTACGGTTCAATCCAATTTGATGAAGTATAGTGAGCATAGCTACATTAGTCTTGCCAGCTCCTGTGGGAGCACACAGTAAGATGTTCTCAGGAGAAAATAGGGCAGTTTCATATACTTTAGTCTGCACCCTGTTCAATTGGATCATCCCAGTGAAAGCTGGTTGTGCCCACTGTGGAAGGGAAGAGATGTTCACAAGCTTTTCTCCAGGAGCTAATGGCTTTGGCTTCAATGCTGGCACATGAACTTCCTCATAACCCTTCATATGATTCCTATACGATCCTGCCAGGAGCTCACAGTTTTTATTTGTCATCAACAAACCACCCTGATGGAAGGCAAGGCTGTCAAGATCGAGCAATGAACGCTGGCCCATCAACCAACCATCATCAAGATCTTCACCATCTGCACCAGATGCATCCTTAAGTCGCCTAGCTTCTTCCCTAAAGCTTTTCTCCAAATTCTTCTGTCTCTCTTTCACAGTTTCCTTAGTAGTAGCATGCAACTGTTGTAATATTGCAGCATGATCTGGCCCCAACCCCAACATCTCTTGTTCGATTTTCTTCCTCTTTTTTTGGTCTTCAGCCCTTGCGAGACAAGTACACCACACTACCTTTAGCCGGTTTCTCAGAAGATACTTGATGAGATTAAACTTGTCATATTGCAGATGCACCAGCAACTTTGTTTCCACATCACGATCATCACCACTTTCAGCAAGAATTTTAAGAACCTCTTCAGCAAGCTTTTGACTCTGTTGCGGATCAATCTTCTGCTGCTCATAAGCTTGAGAAATCTTTCTTTGAAGCCAATAAGCATCTATATACAGAACATTCAAAGCCATCCCCTCATCAGCTTCGTGCAATATCTCATCATCAATGCCGCCACTGCCCATCTGCATAATGCCAGCAACATTACCTTCCAGCTGCACATACTCATCCTCTTCTTCATCATCATGAACTGCTACACCAACATCATCATCATCATAAAGCACTTCATCATCACATTGATAATCAGTAATAAATCTTCCAATTGACACAAACTTATCAAATACCTGATTCGATACGGATACATTTAACACCTTCTCAATCTCCATCTTTTTTCTTATCAGAATTACCATCGTTTAGCACAGCCAAAATCTCATCAGCCGCCGCACTCATAATGTTGAGAGGCTGTCCACATAATTGATGCTGAATCAAACTGAGCATGCACTCGTAAGCAGCCCCAGTTTCCTTAGTTTTCGGTGGTAAACTCCTCCTTCCTCTTCCCTCCAATTAAGAACAGAACTTTCTTCTCCCGGAATCCTCCGTCTCTTCTTGTTCTGCATAGTGGTCTCAGAGACAACAAATCGTTCCCTCTTCTTCTTCTGAATTTTCTCCGGCAGCGAACTCCGGTAAACACGATCTCCAAACTTTTCGGGATCAATTTTCCCATACGGAGACTCAGCTTCACCGGAAGGTTCATGCAGCCCGGAATAACACACGATCAGAATCTGTCATATTCAATCGGAACTCGGAAAATCAAAAGTTACCGGCGAAGTTTTTGTTACGAATTGAGTTTTAGTGATAAACGAATTAGTTGGATGCCCATATTTATAATGCCACAAAACCCAAATTGACTAGAAGAAAGAAATTAAAAGATTTTTTTTTAGATAATTTTGACAATAATTCTATTTAAATATGAATTAAACTAATTAGTAATTAGTATGAATTAAGATTACCAAAAGCTAAACAGTTTAGTATTACTAATTATAATTCTAAAATACTTCGAGAAGAAGTTAATTAATTGGAGACCAAGTTAACTAGAAACCGACCTAATTACTTTGGGATTAATCTAATTTAGATATCAAAATATTTACGTGGAGACGTTTTATTCCTATTGATAGAAGGGTTTCCTATACATTTATATGGCATCAAAATTGTGATAAAATCTTTCTTGAATTCTGATTGTGTATTATTTTATAACAAAAAAGGATACCTACAAAAGAAATAGGAGTATTTGTATATTCTCTAAGGTCTCCTCCTTCGTTTTCATTAGGATTATGATAATTGAATTTGAACGATCTTTGAATAATAAAAATATTATCTATAATTTTGAACATCAAACAACTAAGATGATTTATTTTTCAACGTGTGAATGTGAATCATTTATTAATATATAAATATAATAAATATACCATTCAAATTAAAAAGTAATTAAATATTAGAAAAATATAAATTTTATAAAATAAACTAGTAGCTTGATAAATAAAATAAAATATATGTTCGCTAATGATGATGGAGATGATTTGTAGTGGTGGACATGGTAATGATTGGTGTTAGTGCCTAGTAATGATGGTTGGAAATTGGGATAGTATATATAGTTGATGTGGTAGTGACTGATGTAATAGTGTCGGTTGATAATGATTGTAACGGTGAGGTTGCTTGATATTAGTAATTGGTGGTATTGATGGTGATGGTTAATGATGTATTAGTGGTGGTTAGTGTCGATTTTAGTTATTACGATGAAGATTATTGGTAGTAGAAATTGGTTGCAATGGTTGTAGTGACTCACAGTAGTGGTGGAAGTGACAATAGTGATGATGGTGGTGACAATAGGTATAATAATAAAATTGCCGAAAGAGTTTCCTTTGAATTGACTATAGTAGTTGGGGTAGTGGTGGTTGCCAGTAATGATTGTGATGACAAAGATTGTTAGTGGTGACGATAAATATATTATCCAGAAAAATGACTATATTATGGATCGCCCAAGTTGTGCTTCACAAAATCATTTGAGACTGAACTTTGTTTGAGAAATAATTTAAAAGTTATGGTTATAAGTATCATTTTGTATAACATTATATTTGTCAAAACAATGAAAATTTCAACACTAGAGACTCCTCAATAAATTCCAGAACCTGAAAATGCAATAAAAGTAATTCTCTGTCCAAGTCTTTTGGTCTCACATTTTTGTGCTGCCAAAGAAAGCTTGCATTGAGAGCCTATGTAGGAGATTTCTGTGGACAGAAGATGTAGACACTTCAAAGAAGACCTTGATTTCATGGGAAAATCTGCAGGAGGATTCAACATATCGGACATACAAGCCTGAAACAAAGCTGAAGCTTCTTCGGAACGTGAGCAAAAAGAAAGAAAGCATGTGGAATTCAATGGGTGCACCTATGCTATGGGAAGCAAGGAACTATTTAGGGCACTAAAGCTGCTCAAGCCTCATGAATGGTACATAAAATCCTTAATACGCATGGGTATTTCACCAGTCCTTGCATGAATATGGGTTGTGGTCGAGGCTATGAATCCATTGGACCTGCCAATTGAATGCATTGTAACACTCATAATGATAAAACTTTACGAAGATTCCATTGGATTCTGGAAGCTGAGGCAATTGGCTGGCATGAAGTTACCAGTATTGCAAATGGAGAAGTTCTCAATAAAACAATTATACCTGAGGATTAGAGGTGATTGCCAAAAGGTTGAGAGGAGGAAGCTAGTATGCAACAATGCTTCCAGCCCAAAATGGATCTCCACTGTATACCTGGCCCTTCATGGTAAGTTACTTACCAAAGACAGCTTAGCAGGTTAGTGCTGTGTAGAAGATGTAACTTGTGCACTGTGTGGGAATGAGACAAAAACTATTCATCATTTATTCTTTACCTGTTCTTTCTCATCACAAATATGGACAAAGATCTTACAATGACAACAAATACACTGACCACCTGTAAATCAAATTCAGGAATATTACACAAATCCTTCTATTTTGACAAGTTAGTGGTCAACAATATTAGCAAGATTATCTATACTATTAACTACTCAAAATTCTATCTATTTTGATTCCATAGCTCTACAGAATTATGAAAGGGGGAAGAGAGAGAGGGGGAAATCGCAACATCTATAAGACTATACTAAATGTAATACTGCGAAAATTGAAGTTGTGATTGACATACATTTGTTTTCCCTAGCCTTGGACAACTTTACCAATAAGTATTCAACCCCTTTTCTCAAATAAATAGTCACCATTTTGCCTGTTAGTTAAGAAACTAGTCAAAATTATACGCTTGTTAGTTTCATTTTATCAAGCCACTTAAAATTCTATAAGAGCAGTTCTACTAGGCTTTTCCATGACCAAATTTAGACATGTATGTTCTTAACTTCTATTTCTCTTCTATCTGGCCATATATAAGGGTTATATAGTAACGGTGAGGTTGGGAGAACCCTATCTTGTCCCTGAGTCCTCTACAACACAAAATTGTGATCACCTCTCACACAGATAAGATAACCAAATCTCATCAAAACTTAAAATTGTATATGAAAGATGAGTTGTTCAAGATGTTTATCCCTGTGTAAGCGATTTGACAATTACAGAACGCAGAACTATTGACAAAAAGAGAACTTATAGCAACATGATGGGGATATTTATCTTCAGGTATCAAGAATTACCCAGAGAAACTTCCTATCACCTTGATTTTGAACTTCTCCTAGAAACTTTCATCACTTGAGTCCAACTTTAGCTATTGGGGTAAAAACTCACACGCATTTCTTCAGGAGGTGAAAGAGATGTTTCTCCTATCACCTAGATTTCAAACTTCTTCTTGAAATTTGCATCCAGTTGAGTGGAACTTAACCGCCAGTTGGAGAAAAAGATCACAAGTAATTCTTTGGGAGGCGAAAGTGAAGCATCAACAGATCTTCCTTGGATATGCCTGTGATGACACAATTAATTACAGTTCACCCTGTTAGAATGTTGGGATCCCAAGCTTGATGAGGGCAAATGGCTAGGTGGTGGTGACATATCATGGACGATACTGGCTGATCCTATTTTTTTGGAATGGATACCTTGCATGACCAATACCAATTTCCCAAACATTTCCCTATGGACTGGTGCTATCATGTCAGAGCGAGTCAAAACATCAAGTGAACTGACAATTCCTCTTTTAACTAGTGTAGAAAGAGCTGTTGACACCCCTTTGGAGACTATCTCCTTCCTCTCAATATCATAGTTGTCAACCACAATTAGTAGGAACTCGAGAAGAGTACGGGTAACTTCAATATAATTGGGTATAGAGTTCACCATCAAAAGAATTGCAGGCTCAATGTTCATTACATTATCAGTGGTTTCATCATAGAAAAGCCAATCATAAAACAACGCAAGCTTCAAGTTTGCTTCGACATAACTCTTCCTGCACGACGTCAATAGCCAACCAATCACAGCCCATCTGGGTAAGATATCTGGTTGCATTATTTCACTGGATGGATGAACTGAACAGCATATAAACCTAACAATGTCGATTAAAATGACTTCACTCCCAGGTACTCCGAGGAACTTCTTAGCGAACCAAACCTGGTACCTCTTTTGACTACCCAACTTGACATGTGTAAGCAAAAACCTCAATTTTGTTTCCATTTCAGGAGTTACTCGAAGCAAAAAGTACGAACTTGGAGTTTTTGTGTGGTAAATTTGTGAAATATCTCTAAATCCATCCACCCCAAACTGTCTTGGATTCAATAGCAAGTCTTTCCATATGGCTTTAAACTCAGGTATATGAACCAAGTCTTGCAAAAGCCTAATTAAGTCCCTCCCTATCTTCAAACACAAAAGAAATTGTTCCCTCAAAAGTCGAACACAGTATACAACCTCCATTCTCTTCAATCCATCAACCATTGGATTACTTGGTACTCTATAATGATCCGCCAATAATCGAAGGAACACATACAACCCCTTATTCAAAATCAATGGTTCTTCCTCTAATAAACAATCCCAATTGGCTAAAAACAGTGCAACCATCTCCAAACACAACCACGAATTTCCCTCACTAAAATCCCCACCTACAATTTGCCTTAAAAGAGCCACCAACAATTTATCAAATCCTATAGCCAATACATTCAACATCTCTTTAGTAACCCATATAAGCTGAATTTTCACTGAGTCAAGCAATTTTACATACAACTCATCAACAATCTTGACAAGCATACAAGTAAACAATTCATACCCATCAATAATAATTGCATGTAGGTGCTTAATATGAACTTCAGCTAAATTGGGTTGGGATAAAATGCCAAAGATTATAGCTTTATTCAGATTTGAGTATTCCTCTTGTGTTAGCACTTTTAAGGTAAATGGTGGGTTTAGTTGGGATTTAAGAAGTTCAAAAGCTTCTCTAAAAGACACTTCAATTGGATTATCAGCTTCATGGATTCCTCTTTCAGTAAGCTTTAAGGCCATTAATAGTGAATGAATCACAATAGATGCAAGATGAAACACCAAAAACAGCTACATAAGCATACCTGTACACTATTTTTTTCAGAAACAAACTTAGGACCTTACTGATCGAGTTGCTGGGTGCTTCGCCGGAAAATAACCACCGGCGGGGAGGTAAGCGGCGGTTGTATAGGCCCTGCAAATTGCCGTCGACCCAAATACCTAAATATATTATTATTTGGGTCACTCTTAATTATTTCTTCCATTTTATTTTACTGGATATATACTACTAAAATAGATTATTTTTTAATATTGGTTATTTTAATAAATAAATCAATCAAACAGAAATTTGTTGTTTTTTCTTCATATTCTCGTTATTATTAAATGACTACATAAAATAATTATGATTAAATTTAGAATTTTAGATATCATTAATTTAATAAAATATACTTTCAATAACATTTTAAGAATTGTGCCAAGTCAGCAATAGCCCTTAGAATTAAATACTCAAATTATACTCCTTTGTAAAGATGCCAGAGTAAGGAGCAAGTGATCAAAATAGTGTTGGATTTTTGGAGGTGGTATGAATGGAAAATGAAAGAATTTAAAATGGTGGTGAGGGAGAGCAAGACTCGTATGCTTATATATAGAAATTCATTCTAACTGGTTGAGAAACGAGACTCCTTTTGTGTTATTATCATTGTTCGATTTTGGATTTTAATTTAATGAAATCATTGATTGTTAAATCTTTCGGTTATTTTTTTGACAAAAACGGACAAATATCGTTCCAAAAAATGCGTCCAAACACAGTTTCACGAAAAGCTACCAACCAAAAAGTTATATCTCTTCGGTTGAAACTCAACATTTGATTATAAATATGCACCCTTCTTTCAGCTTTTTCACTATGAAAATTCTGAAATTATCTCCTTAATTTCTGCAATGCTTTAGATAATTGTAAAGTAAGTTTTAAGTGTGATTTGACTGCTTTTGAGTTCGTTGTAAACTGGAGTTTGAAGTACCATGCGCTACACTAATGTGGTTTAGTAAGTTTATCTTTGAAGAAAACAATCATATACCTCGAATAGTGAATTCGAATATAATTTTATTTCATCTTTTTTTTAAATAGTAAGATAAAATTCTCAACGTGAATAAGTACAAACAAGGGGGGTTAGGTTTTACCTTATCAATCCTAATGAGGTAACAAATCTCTACTAATTAACAAGCATGAAGAAAATAAGAGCTAGAGAAAACTAAGTATTCTAGGATCATCATAGAGTTTATTATACACTCTATGATGATATGACAAATAAAGATACTTAAATAATGCAAAAATATATACGTCAAGAAGAACCTCAAACTTCTTTATATATATACTAGTTTTGACGCACGTGCGTTGCACATGAATATCAAATCATGTATTACATTTAAAATAATATGAATATTATTAAATTAAAAAATTAAGTAAACAATTATAAAATGTATGATAAAGTATAATTTCCTATGAATAGTGGATGTAAGCTTTTTATGATTGCTACTCAAAGTTAGTAACTTTTTAAAATCTTTTAGTTACGCCCTCCTCTTAAATATACTTTCGCCTCCCTCCCCAATAGTGCATTACTTAGTTATTATTGTATTGTTGGAGTTCTCACTTTTAATATAATATAATATAAATAAATATTGATGTAAAATATAAAAGATATACTAAATTGGATATTTTTAGTTGGAGTATTATATTAATTAACACTCATGTTAGGGAGTATCAAATTTCATTAAGTTTTGAGATTGTCAACGTCTAAAAATCAAACGTGAGTTTTTAAGAATAGAAGAATAGAAGCCATAAAATAAATCGTAGTTTTAAAATGTGAAGAAACCCCTTCATATATAGTTAACAAAGGATAGTATGAGAATGTGCATATTGTTTCTTATCATAAAAGTCACAACCATTTGGAAAGGTCACAACTCATCGAAAAAGTTAAAACTCTTTGAAAAAGTCGTAACCATTCAATGTCAAATGGTTTCTTCTTTTAATAAAATATAATATAACATAAATGAATAAGTAAATATATAAAATATAAAAGATATACTAAATTGGATGTTCTAAGAAAAAGAACAACAATGAAAAACTTCAAAAAACTATAGTTTAAAAATTTGAGAAAACCTCTCTTTTTATAGCCAACTAAGGGCAGTGCATAAAAAATGCTTATTGTTATAAAAAAAAAGTGTCACAATCTTATAGAAAAGTCACAACCCTTCAAAAAAGTCACGACTTATCGGAAAAGTCATAACTGTTTGGAAATGTCACAACCCTTCAGAAAATTCGCAACCCTATAGAAAAGTCACAACCCTTTGAAAAGGTCACAATTCATCGAAAAAGTTATAACTCTTTGGAAATAACACAACCCTTCAATATGAAAAGGTGCATGTTTTTAATATAATATAATATAAATAAATAAAATACAATATTAAATATATAAGATATACTATATTTGGTGTTTTAAGCTAGTGGTATTATAATAATTTATCATTTAAGTTATGTAGTTCATTCTTTTAAGTTTGTATCGAAGCAAAAAAAAGATAGATATAGATTTGTCTAATTTTAATTTGATATGAAATTTTGAAAAATAAAAAAGACTTTTAATTTAAGGATATATATAATATATAAAAATGTCTTTTAACTTTGTGGTCTTAAAGATGCGCGCGCCCAACCACCAAGAAAAAAGAACATTCATATTAAACTAAATAAAAATAAAAGTACACCAAATAAATTGGAAATAGAGGAGTACTTATTAAATCTAGTTTGGACTCTTAAAACAAGTTTTTGATCAAATATTTATTCTCCTACAGTTTGAGACTTTTCACAGCTTGAACATCAAGTTGTAGTTTGTGCATCAGAAAATCATTGAACTTCTTATCAAGTAGAAGTTGTTGGTAAAATATATTTATGGCAATGAAAATGAGTATATATTTGAACTCTTCACACAAGTTTTTGATCAAATCATTTTTCTCCAACAGTTTGAGACTTTTCACAACTTGAACACCAAATTGTAGTTTGTGCAACAGAAAATCATTGAACTTCTTGTCAAGTAGAAGTTGTTCAAAAATATATTTATGGCTATGAAAATGAGTACATATTAGTTATCTATAAAGACTTCTGGTTTGAAGTTGAGTTATTCCATTCTCCTTGTTGCATCAATTTTTGTTGATCTATCTAATTTTGCCACAGAAAATATTGTAATTACATAATTGAACTACTATCATAATCTTCCTTGTGTTAAGAATAAGAATAGAAAACTTACAAAATTCAAAGTGTGAGAAAACCCCCATATTTATAGACAACAAAGGATAGTATGAGAAGGTGTTTATCGTGCCTTATCAGATAAGTCACAATCCTTCAGAAAAATTACAACTTTTCGAAAATGTCATAACTCATCGAAAAAGTCATAACTCTATAAAAAAGTTACAACCCTTCGGAAAAGTCACTACCATCAATGTTAAAAGGTGTCATCTTTTAATATGATATAGAATAAATAAATAAATAAATAAATATAATATAATATAATATAAAATACAACATATTTACTAAAATGGGTGTTTTAAGTTGGGGGTATTATAGTAATTTAACATTCAAGTTAGGAGTTCATGCTTTTAAAGTAGTATAGAAGATATATGTGTGTGTGTGTATATATATATATATATATAAAAGCTAAAAACGATAGTTTTCCCATATAGAGTAACCTGAAGTATTTTTCTCGTCTTCTTCTTCATATCCGTCCAATAACACTTGATACTTCATCACTTCTTCTTGGACTTATATATTGGATCTTGTCGAAGTTGTTGAGACTGTCATATGATGCTTTGTTAGTCTTATAGGTAGGTGACTTGAAACAAATTCCTCAGTCACCTTACCATCCCAACTATGTTGTCTGTCTTCTTTTTTTACTTTTATTTCTTCCACTTCTTTGTTGCCTAGGTGAAAGATCCCCATCCCGAGCTACTTTATCAAAACATATATCTAACATATCATCTTCATTTCTAATTTACTTTTTTTTTTAAATGTCGCTATTTTATTTTCGAATACAACAAGGATGACAAATGATCCTATCAGATTGAATTATTTTAGCCTTAAAAACACCTTTATATATACATATTTTGTAGTCGTAAGTAGGGGTGTTCACGGGTCGGTTTGGAGCGGTTATTGGTGAAAATCAAAACCAAACCAACTTAATCGGTTTTAAAATTATCAAAACCAAACCAAACCAAATATACTATATATTTATCGGTTTCGGTTTGATTTGGTTTGGTTATTCGGTTATTAACCATAGACAAAAATAAAAGAAACAATTCATTCAAAACGTGAAAAAAGTGACAAATATATGTCGATCTAGAAATGAGAATAGGCCAGTAATTTATGTTTAGTTATTTACTTTTTAGTAGTGGGTTAGTGGTGGGTTGGGTCATGCCCGCAGAAGTGCATGGAGGTGTAATTGCTAATTCATTTCAGTATTAATAAAAACCCATATTTTACTCTAAATAAAAAAGTGAAAAAAGTGACAACAATCCATTTAAAACAAAAATAGTTAGAATGACTGACATTACAGAACTTTCAATCATTGAATTTACTATGAATAAAGCTTCAAAATTCATTATTTTGGCCTAGAAGAAAGAGACGGTGATATTTTCAATCTTATAAAGAATTATCATAGACACGTTCATGTACATAAAATCAATAAGATAAATATTCCCACCTTGGGCATTTTTTCTTTTATAAGTAAATTATAAATAAATTTTGATGAAAACACATATAAGATCTTTAAAATTGTTTATAAAAATAATATATTATGTATGTATAATAATAAAATATGTATATAATTTGTAGGTTTGGTTCGGTTATTTCTTCGGTTTTTTTCGAACAAAACCATAACCAACCCATATACTATCGGTTAACCAAAATAAAAATCGATTTATTTAATTGGTTTGGTTCAATTTTTCGGTTTGGATCGGTTTTTATCCAAACCGTGAATACCCCTAGTCGTAAGTTAAACAATCTATTAAATTTAACGAGCCACTCAAACTATCCTTTTCTTTCCAGTAAGTGTGCAAATGGCATGCTGAGAAGGACCATACATTTCATTAATGGGTTAGCCGGGCTAATCATCCATAATTGAAGCCTCAAGAGTGGCCAAAACCTATAGTAATAGAATTATTGTCACTTATAGGACCACTTAATTCCATTTATGGGCTGACAGAATAAAAGTGTCCAGCTTTTATTTGCATAAATCTACTCCAATCATTAAACACAAGAAAAAATAATTGGTAATCACCTAGCTTAATTCCAGAAATTTAGGCCCTTATTTGGACTAGTGAGCATTATTGGTTAAAAGAAGGACTAGCATAATTCATCTCTCACATATCATCAACTGGCCCACTTGTCCTTGTAGACAATAACGAAAAATATACTAAAAAGAACTATTTTAATCTACGAAAATGAACAAGTAAAATAAAATATTTATTTTTAATATAGAGGACAGATAAAATGAAACGTATGGAGTAATATATTTATAAATCAAAACACAATTGCTATTCAAATTGTAAAAAGAATATGTTAGTCCAAGAGATTAATCTCGATTGTGCTTTTACTTAAAGGTCACATTTGAACTCAAAAATCAAATTTTCATCATTGCCTAACATAATTAAACGTGTTTGTTAATCGATGTTTAAAGACTAATTAGCCTTATTAGTTGAAAATCAAGTCAGTTCTCATGTGGTAATTAATTTCTATTTATATATCACCATTTTAGATTTCACGTTCCTTAATTCTTTTAAAACCATTTTTTCGATAAATAAACATAAATTAATTTATTTTGATTAATTAAATTGCCCGATGAACATGAATTAATCATTTAACATACTTACAAGACTTATAACTCTCAAGGGTAAAATAAGAAGAATAATGTTATTTATGTATTGATTTTGTGAAATGACAAATATTAAGGAACATCTATTTTTTTTAGTAAGGATGACATATAAATAGGAACGGAGGAGGGAGTAATTAAGATAATGATAGTGCTTAGTGATGAATCAACCTAATTAAATTAAGAGTTGACCCAGTAAGTGGGTATTTTAGTTTGAGTCACTTTTCAACTTCTCACTTTGTTCTCCTTTATCAGTGGAATCAAAGTCAAACCAATTGTAGGAGCTACTGAACGATTTAGAGGTGTAACCGATGTTATTGCATCACTCATCGTATTTAAGTATTTATAATATTAATAGTAAAGATTCAATTTTTATATAATGTGTTTCTAGTTTAACGATGAAATTTTTATATTTTTCTAATCGTTAATCGAATGAATCTTAAATTTTGATAAAGTTTTTATATTCTTCTAATTGTTAACCAAATGAACCTTCATTTTAATGAAGTTTTATATTCTTTGGATCAATTTCAGATTCAGACAAAGTAGAAAATCAAAACGGCTTTAATCACCAGAAATCTCAAATACAGAAAAAATAAAAAATTTCTTAAGTTTGTTATCTCTTGTATTCAGATAGAAAACTAGAAACAATTAAGATGAAAAGAAATAAAACTATTCGCGTCCACAAAACTAATTGTGTGTCCTTAAGAAATTTAATTTCTTCACTATATTCGAGGTTGTGGATTATTTCCTCCCAAGATAAAATGGATAAACTATTAAAGAAGTAATAGTAGATCAAACTTCAAATGAGACTCTACTTTGTTTGTAAGAAAATGTATTAATAAAAAAAAAAGAGAACCCCTTTATTTATTGCCAACAAAGTGTAGTATAGAAAGATGTTAATTGTGTCTTATAGTAGAGGTCAACCCGAACATCACAACTTTTGAAAAAGACACAACTTCACAACAGTCATAATCCTTTAAAAAAACATTTGATAAAAAATCGTAATCTTTCAGAAAAGTCATAATCCTTCATTTCTGAGTAAAACCTAATAGGTATGTGGTGATTCACGCTTTTAAAACCTGAATTGGACATGATGATTATAAATGCAAAAGAAATCCACTTTAAACCATTATAAATACCAACCCTTGAACCATCACAGAGAACAGAGCAATAAAGAAAGAGAAAGTTACTCTGTTTCAAGTCTCACAAATCACATCACAGATGGGCTTCAGCCTTATGAGGAACCAGAAGTTCATGCCAACGATAAAACACTTGCTTATCATTTCTATAGCTATCAATGCGGGCTTGCTGTTGAAACTACTGCATCATGAACATGAATGGGCTGGACTCCCCGGCCCGGACACCAATCAGAAGAATGAGGTGAGGCTGGTGAAGGATGTGCTTCATAAGGCTAAGCCTGCAACTGATCAGTACATCAATCTGGACCAGTAAGTTTCAACCCCCCTCTCTTTTTCTCCGTTCATGTGGCGTCCGTTCCTTTTTAGTCTGTTTCCAAAAGAATATTCATTTTCTTTATAACGAGAAACAAGTTAACTTTAAAATTCCATGTTAAGTGTGTGGGCATGAATGAACTTTGTCTGTTCTGTTCTGCTACCATGTTGAATTGTGTGACTATATGCAACCATACAAATAGATAAGGTTTATTTTAGATTACAAATTTCAAAAGTTATCCTTGTTTGTTAAACTGTGCCAGGTAAACTAGGATGGAGGGAGTAATATTTTTATTTTAACAAAATAATAATTGCTGTCAAGCAAACCAAAGACAATTTTTTTTTGGCAATCTCTGTATTCTTGCCGGTGATGGAGGATCATCAGTAGTGAGGCAGGGATGTGAGGACATGTTTTGCTGGCATAACAGAAGGGTGTCAGTTTTTGTTTTATTTTTTGTTAATTTCATCCTAGTGGTGGGGTTGGGGTGGGGGTGGGGGTGGGGGTGGATTCTATCTGTAAGGAGTGCTGGGTTCTTGGAAATGGCAAGGAGCCATAAAAGATTGAATCTTTGATAATGAGAATGAATTGGGCTTCTGCCTATGTTGCTCGGACTCTAAAAATGTTGTCGGGTGTGTTGGATCCTTTAAGAGTAATATATTTTTAAAGAATCCGAAACGGGGGCATGCTGGTGTGGGGCATGATAAGGGATTACAACTCTGATTGTACAACTTGTGTTGAGTGTTTTACACTTTACACTATGCTATGATTGTTTAACAGTGAAAACTGCTTCACTAATTACTTTGCTTAAACATTTTTCTACTATAGATGGTGGTCCTTGATTCTCTCATTAACCAGACATAATCATTCTTGTGTTTTGCACTTGCTGGATGACCCTCAAACAATTCAAAAGACCACTTTGTTATACATTTATTAGTATTGCTTGTATACTGTTGGAAATTACATTTAGACTAGTTAATACAATTTAGATCCTTGTGGGTCTACAAACATTACCCTATTGTCCTTTGAGAATATCTAAAAGACTAAAGTTTGGGACCCTTAAGATTTGGAAGTGCATTTACCCATTCTTTATACCACTTGGGAAAGGTGGATGCACTACTTTATCCTGAACTTTTTGGAGCCATTTTAATGTACTATACCTAGTACTAGTTATTCTTAATGCAGCACTTCTTCCGCAAGGCTAGTGGGGCAGGAAACTTCGTATTTTGGCCCATTGATTCGTCTTAAATCTCCTATCCTTCCTTTAATGGAAAAGACTCATAACTCGCCTCACCTAACCATCTAATCTGTATTAAATGATGTTGCAGCATGGACTATTGTTTAGATTGTACCACTTTTAATTAATGGTACATTGTTGAAAACTTCATGTAAATGTGATTGCTGAAATGACAAATTTGGTTTATGTTGTTTGTTGTTGCGGACAATATTAGATAGATACTGTATTCATAAGTGAAAAAGCAATCTTTGGTCCATTTATAAAAGGAAGTTGTTTTTTAGTAACTAATATGATTACAGTACGAAGAAGCTTTAATGTCTTGTTACACTCTCTGCAGTGGTGATCCGACCATGTACGAGGTCTACTGGAAGCAAATGGGAGACAAAACAACACTTGTTTTATCAGGTTGGCAATCCATTAGTTATTTTTCGGATACCAAGAACCATTGCTGGTTTCTGGAGCCAGGCTTTGCAAATGCAGTAACTAGACTGCACAATCTAGTTGGGAATGCTCAGACTAGAAACTATCACATTGTAGTTGGAACGGGATCTACACAACTGTTTCAGGCTGCGTTATATGCTCTCTCTCCATCCAATGCACCAGAGCCAATGAGTATTGTATCTGCTGCCCCATTTTACTCGGTGAGTAATGCAGATTATGATTATTTGGTTTCTTTAGTGAATCTCATCACATGTGTAATTCATTGCATACTGACTTTGCATACAGCTGACAGGGACGGATCTAGAGGTCTGGTTACATGTTAAGGAATCTACTTAATAACTATAAAAAATTTACTATGAACTTAGTTAATTATAGATTAACTTGGGGTCGTTGTGAAACCCATAAAATTCAAATCTTGGATCCGCCTCTGCTAACTAATTAGGCAAATAACAAAAAATTAGTCTGGTTGTTAGCAGGACAGCCAGCATTTGTCAGAGTTCTAGATAGATTTGTAAATACTAAAATCTATACCAAGTCAACCCTAGTTTTCACCAATATAAATATATTATATTTCAGATTTGCAGAGGTTCATGTTTCTGCTCTACATTTCTCCACTTTCACTACAGTTTCCTGCAGAAGCAACTGTACAGAACATATTTTTTAAATCTGAGATTATTACCTTGCTTTGTCTGCTCATTTACTTCTAGAACCAGTCAAACAAATCTTTTAAATTTTGAAGTTTCTTGTATTTAATATTTTTCTCATACAAGTTGTCATAATCCTTGCTGTCACTATTCCATTTGCATCCATTATCTTTGATTACAATCATATGCTTCAGCAAGATTTTCCTGTTTCAAGTAAAATAGACATCTGCCTCCTCTTTTCTATTTTTTTCGTTTCTTATTTCACACGTCTATGATTACCTGTTTGCATTGCAAGTTTAGGAAGCAATCAGACAGGTAACAATCTTTTCATGGAAAGTACTGATTATTACCTGGATGCACAACTCTATCGTTCAATTGACTTAAACAATATTTACTCGTGTCTTTCCATTTGAAGCATATATCATGTTAATTAAGATATTCTATTTAGAATACTTAAAAGGAAACTTAGTATTGTAGCTTACAATTCAAACTTTTCAACTTCTTGCAGTCATATCCACTGATCATTGACTGCTTGAAATCTGGTCTCTACAAGTGGAAAGGTGATGCCTCTAAATTTAACAAAGATGATCCCTATATTGAGCTTGTGACTTCTCCAAATAATCCTGACGGATCAATCAGGCAAGCTGTAGTCAATGGAAGTGGAGGAATACTGGTGCATGACCTAGCTTACTATTGGCCCCAATATACTCCGATCTCATTTCAGGCAAACCATGACATTATGTTGTTCACAGTTTCCAAATGCACTGGACATGCTGGTATACGTATAGGGTATGTAACCGATTCCTGATTTTATATGACACTATCTCATTTTGGATGCTTCAGCTTTATACCTTTCACTTTATCCTTGAGGACATGCTCTTATAGCTATAAAAAATGTCATGGCCTGTTTAAGACCACAAGTTCTACAACTAGTTTTGTAATGTGTCAAAAGTTTTTCTTTCTTTCTTAAACTCCGTACCTAGTCAAACACTTATGGAGAAAGTAATATTTAGGAACTTGCGAAATGAAAATTCTAGAGTCTTGTGAAAGTAGTTTAGATCAAATGGACTCTAGAATTTTCATTTCGCGAGTAAGAATTTCAGCAGAAACCAAATAAAAAGACAAATTTCATGTAGTTTGAATGAGTTGATGCACATCTTGTTTTTACTCTTCCTCTTTGGATTATATATCAGTGCCCCACAAATAAAGAGACATTCTAGTGTTCTGTTGAAGTAATTAACTATGACTATACTGGTACTTGGTTAACGACATTGTTGCATATTTTGATGGCAATATCCTCATCAAAACTGTAGATGGGCACTAGTGAAAGATAAAGAAGTTGCCAAGAAGATGACTAAATTTATAGAGATCAGCAGCATTGGTGTCTCTAAAGATTCACAGCTCCGAGCTGCTAAAATCCTTGATGTTATTGCTGATACCTACGAGCACACAGAGAAATTTGACAAGTCTACACTCTTCTTCCATTATGTCTACAATGAAATGGCAAAGCGATGGAGACAATTGAGATCAGCAGTCAGCAAAGGCCAAACTTTTAGTTTACTTGACTTTCCTGTTGAAAAATGCAACTTTAGTGGTCAGAGATTTGGAACACAACCTGGTAATTTTAGTTTACTGAATGAGCTATATCTGTTTTTTCGACAGTTCTTATGGTTTAACTATGAAGCCAATCAACTTTTCTTCCCCTCTTTTCAGCTTTTGCATGGCTAAAATGTGAGAAGTCCATAGACGACTGTGAAAAATTCCTGAAGAAGCACAAGATTTTGACCAGGAGTGGGACACATTTTGGTTCAAGCGAAAAATACGTGAGGATCAGTTTGATAAGCCATAAGGAAGAGTATGATGAGTTTATTCGAAGGTTGTCTCTGCTCAGTTCTATGAAGTCTCCACATGAATAGAGTGTAGTCTTTTTTGTAGGCATATATATTCTGCAAGACTAAATGGTGCAGAAGGATGTACACAAAAATGTATATATTTGTTTTTGTGAACTTATTGACTCCATGCTAGTACATCCTCATTATCGAGATAAGATTCGTGTGCTGTTCTTGCTATATCTTAAACCATTTTGAGGAGAAATAACAGTGAAAGAGACCTTAAGAGCAGACATCACTAAAACTACATAGCTGCATTGCTCAATGTGGGATTGTTGGAGGTATATATTTACTTTTTCCAAGATGAAAGTATACGAAGAAACACAAAAGTGGAATCTTACCAAAAATAGCGTAGATTTCAGCAGTACACATAATGCAGTGCCACAAAGATAGTCCTGCTCATATAAGCCTTAGTTCATATTCACCAGCCATTGTTATGTACCTCACCCATGGAAGAGCTTGATATCCGCTTTTTTCAATGATTTTGAGATAACGAACCTGCTCAAACTCAAAACATTAACATGGAATACTTCATATAGTAGTTGAAACAGTAAGTGCAATGGAACTTTTTCTCCACAAGGTTAAGATAAAATTACCTGAATTCCTGAGACTGTAAAATATGGTATCTCAAACTTAACGCGAATTGGAGCTTTTCTATCAGGAGGTGTATCTTCAGATATTACACTTGGAAGTCTAAACTCTGCCCTCAGCATATAATCCTGTGCATTAGTTAAAATGTGGCTGATAAAACCAGTAGACAGTCAATTGGATACATTACACACGTCATTTTGCTGAATCCCTACCTTATTACCCGGGAATGACTTGATTTTCCATACCACTGCATCTCTCTCAGGAGCATATGTAGCATATCCCATCGATGTTCGTATGTTGGGACTCATTGCATCAGATGGTACGGGCAACTCGATTTCAACATTCGTAGCAGTGCTGCCATATATATTAGCCAGTTCAGTGGAAATATTTCCTTGAGAAAACTTACAACTAGTCTAAAATATCTAACAAAAGATAAGAATACTACCTTCGCTCTTTAAATTGGCTTCTGGCCTTGACAGACATTTCAACGCGGCTTCTTGAATGCCTTTCAACTTGAGCTTCCACCCAAATCAGTGGCTTCACCTGAATCCATTACTAGTAAAGTTATGAACATTTTAGTCCGCCTCAACTAACGAAGAAGAAGATTATGATAGGCATACTTTACATTACAATGAGAATATAGTAACAGAGATAATGAAATTGACCTGAGTACTGAGTCTATAAGTCATCAGATCAAATGATCCATCAGGAGGTATAAAAGATATTGTCCGATCATTTTCAAACCTAGCCAGACGCACGCACCTGAATATACGCGTTAAATGGTTTAGACAGAAGAAGTTGTTTATCTGGAAGTACAGTAAGCTCGGGTCAAGTATGGTATACGCAATTCATTTACTGAATTTTACAGCTTATTGAGGAAGCAGTCACTTGATTAGCAGACTAGCTTTCGACACATTTACTAGAAAATGCTTACTGGTGAAATTTGATATCATCCAAATCAATTGATTTGCCTTTGGTAGGTCGACCTTGAGCCTCCAATAGTACTTTGTCGTTAAGCCCGAGCTTGCACTCAGGCATGCCACTGCAAGAGACAAAAACATGTTCCATCATAGCAAAACGGATCGTTGCAATGAGAAGAGCCCCTCACGGTGATCAACGAGGAAATGTAGAAATGAAATAAGATCAACTATAGGAAAGCTCTAATCTATTGTTCATCGAAACAGAACAGACTTACTCATCAAATTCTGTTAAAATTACAGCATTTGATAACCAAGTACCTCAAATAAGCTCTCATCTTCAACGCCCCATTAACTTCAGAACGTATCAATTGTCCGTTGCTATTGACAAGGAGATTAACATGTTCAACCACATCCAAATAAACCTGATTGAACACAAAGAAAGCGCGATTTTTAAACCAGAAGCTAAACTAACAGCAAAAGTAGAAAGAGTAAAGCAGAAAACTTCAAGGCCATACTTCATTATTCTTATAAAATACACCCTCACTACGCCATGAAACTGCATTTGTCACAGCCATTGGAGGGTGCTGGTTGACTTCCATTCTATATGCATCCGTCTTGATAAACTCACTAAGAATCTTAGCTTCCGTATATTGAGGATAACCAAAGTCCATCATTTCATCAAGCAATTCATACTGACATATTGTCATTTTGAAAATCCATAAGTTACTTACTATAATCTAAAAACATAAATCTCTAAAAGACAAACGCGTTCCTTATACTCACCACAACAACAAAGTTATCTCGTAGAGACTCCTCTTCTAGTTCTTCAAAATAATGCTTAAAAACCTTCAAAAGAAAATACAGACAGTAAAAAAACCTCTCAATTCAATCACTCGTTAAAGTAATTAGTTGGACCAACTTACGTCAACTACACGATGTAGAAAGAAAAGCAGGCTAGCAGCATTGGAATTCTGCTTCGATGCTGCCAGCAGGTAAATGTTCTTGTGCTGTATAAACATGTAGTTCACGCCATTTTCGTGGCATACTGGTCCATCAGATTCTAAGTCACCCTATGAATAAGCAATCGTCAAGATTGAGGATCAATAACAATAAAAAGTTGTTCAAATAGGAATTTCAAGTTGAAGTTCATTCATTGATGAACTCAGACACAAGGTGACACCATTAAAAATTCAAATTAATATCTCTATTATATCTTAACAATTCAGAATTAACTATACCAAAATGGTTACAATAACAATTGGAACGATACAAAGAAGATTGACATGTACAACAACGTACCTACCTCTTTTTCGAGGAGCTTAGTAAAGAATTTCTCGACTTGTTGAGCAGAAACATCGCCTCTATAGTCACGACTTATGAGGCATCTCCCTTTCATATCAAGAAGAAACATCGCGGAGATGGCACCCGCCATTGATCTCCACCTGATTATAACACAAACAAAAAAAAAAACAGAGATACTACGTAATTTATTGAACACAAAAGAATCATGCAAATTTTATTTAAAAAATAAAACAGAGTTAATTTACGTATAGAATAATTTTTAGTTGTTTTCCCTATATGTCGAAAATGAGAAAAGCTTAGCGATCTGGTAATTCAGTTTCATTTGTGTAACGTTTTGAGATGGAACCGGATGGTAAAGCACGTGTTTTTATTTAAACTATCATCTTACTAGTATATACACAAGAAATTTTTATATTATTAGATCGATCACCTTTACGTGTTGACTGTTGTTGTATGTAGGTAATAAGTCTGTTTTTATGATAACAACGTTTTAAATGTAGATATATTTGGGGAGATATGATAGTGATTTTTTATACAACTAACATGAGTATAACTTAAACTCATAACTTATAAAATGCGACCATAGTCTATATGATTAATGCAGTTTTAATATATCTTACATTTTTAACAGGCTAACACTTTTTTTTTTTGTTTCAATTTATGTGACGGTATTTGATTGGTTAAAAAAAATTAAGAAAAATATATACCACTTGAAATGAGATAAGAAAAACAATATTTAACTCTAATTATCTTATATTTATACAATAGAACTTATATATTCCAATTTGGATTATGTCACTATATGATGTAATTGGTGGCAAACTGTTCTTTTATGGCACTCCTTTTTTATTTTAGACGTTTTCTTTTTTTTCTAAAGATAACTCAATTAATTAGTTATTTCATGCAAATTTTATATATAGATTTCAAATCCATTAATTATCCAAAATTTAATATTTTTTTCTGCTATGTCAAGCTGACTAAAGTGGTGTTACCAATATAAGTAATAGTAATAACGATTCTCTGCAAAAAGTATTAAAAAGTGTCGTCTGTTAGTGATCCAAGAATATGTCATAAAATTCGATTATAAGTGACATCATTCACTATTCCTCCACAGTTTCATACGTAAAAAGGTAAAACGTCATTTGTCACAAAATAATTCTTCAACACTATACCCATATATAGTGATTTTAACAGAATACCAATGATCGAAAACGTAAAATTATATGGTAGTTGATGATGATAATGTCTAATCGTAATAGATACCGTCAATATTAATGAATGGAGAAGTTATGGTGATATTTGAATGATTAATTAAGATGCGATTTTTTTTATAGTTAGTGCAAACAAATTCGATCGTCAAGATCAACATTTAAAAGTTGATTAATCCACTACTAATTTTAATTTAATAAACATCACGCCCTTTACAGCATATACAAAAAGCACTCACTTAGCCAAATGTTAACGTTATTTTATATTTTATATCATATCATATATATGTACCACTATTATTTTCACTATCTTTTTAATCTTTCTCTCTTCCACTTTAATTTATTCCCCTCCACTTTTGGTTTTAATTTTTATATACAAAAAAGGGTTAAAAAAAAAATCACTCCTAGTTAAAAAAGAATTTACTCCTAAAAGAGTAAATAACTAGCTATATATATTACATAAAATCTTTTTATAATCAATAGATGTAACTTAGATAGTTCATTAATTTTTGTGTTCCTTATTGCCTAGATAGATATGGTTGACCTTTCCTTATGAGTAGGAAAAGAATAATTGTTCTCAAGTCTGTCAAGAGCAACTTTTAGGTCTCCATTATTCTCTGTGTGTATGATCAGTGAGTATTAAATTTAAAAAATTGATTATATATATTATTATTATTATCTATATATCTTAATTACCAAATCTCTTACTGATCACATGTTAAAATGATCATATGACTAGATAATGGTCACCATTAACAACCAAGAAAAGAGTAATAATATTAGTACTCCCCCAATTCACTTTTGCTTATCTACTATATTATAAATAATAGATATTCAGTTTTAATTGTCTAATTTAGAAAATTAAGCGTTAATTTATCATTTTTTACTTATCACCTGCATTAACGACCAAGAAAAGAGTAATATTAGTACTCTCTCAGTTCATTTTTACTTATCACTATATTATAAATATCAATTTTCATTTTTACTTGTCTAGCTAATTTAAGAAATCAAGAGATAATTTAATATTTTATACCTATTTTATGCTTATTATTAAGTACTTATTAATTTCAATTCATTTTTCAACGAGTGAAATAACTTATAAGGGTGATATATATTAAAATTATTATTCTATTTTTGTTATTAAAAAGTGTGTTAATTTAAACATGAACAAATAAAATAGGCAGAGGGAGTATAATATTGGATTTAAAAGAGTCAATTGAAGAATGAGTTGACCATGCGCACTGAGTATGACCTACTAATAGAGGTGGTATAGAGTATAAAGATCAGATATGATATCATAATCCTAAAAAAATATTGATTTTAGACTACTAATAGCACCCTTTCTTGAACATAACAATATATATTTTTTATTAATTAGTTTCCCCTATATAATACTCCAAAAATAACAATAATAAAGAAGTGAACACATATACTCAAATAGATCCTTGGTGGCTATGGGTTTTTTTCCAGCAAACTTATACTACTGGATAGTGGATAATTTTATTCAAAAAATAAAAAATCTCACATATAAGAACAAGTAAAGGTGCTAGGTCTTACCTTATCAACCTTAATAAAATAGAAAGGAAAACATCTATATCAAAATTAATTTTTAGTGGCAATTAATTAATGACAATAGCTTAATTGTCAGCAAATATGAATTTTTAGCGGCAGTTAGCACTCTCTATAAATGTCCCTAAAGCCTATAGTGATATTGGATCCAATGACAATTAACTAATGTTGATAAAAAATTTAGCACTCTTTGTTTATGTATATATTTATTACTGTTATAAGCTATTTTTGCCATAGTGTATACAAGCGAGATAATTGTTTCAATTCACCACATTCTCAATATTTAGTGTTTCACACTTCAAACTTGATGAATTTGTGATCTAAAATAAATTTTAAATTATAGTTTTTCCTTATATATATATCTAAGAAATTCAACAATTTATATATAAAAATCAAAAAAAAATTATCTTTACCTTATATGAACTCCCTTTGATCTCTGCCATTGTTTTCTAACCAAATTTGTCAACAATAACCTAGACATTTGCCAAGAGCAATAATACATATTTTTCTCTTTAAGCAAGAGGAAATGAAGGGGTAGAAGGTAAAATTAAATGGGGAAACAAGGTCATAGTCATCTTTTGATATTATTATTGATAATAATATTCGAAAGAGAGTCATAGTCATCTTTTTTATCATAATGTTTTATGTACCCCCCCTACCATTTATTATTATTATATTGTCTTTTTGTCTTTTGCCTTCATTCCTTCTCCATCACTAAATTATGCTCTTTGCCTCCTTACCCTTTCTCTCCATCATCAACAACTTTTTTGTATATTGGATTTTGCCTAGTTTCCCTTCATTGCAATTAGGGTTTTTCCCTTTTGAGTTGGCTTCAATTCATCAATATCAATACTAGTGGTAAACAACTTTCTTTTTTATGTTACTACTTTTGTTATAACAAATTCTCTCAGAAAAAAAAGGTACTTCCCTTTTTCATTCTTCTTATCATAGAATTAAACCTAGTTCACACAAATAGGTAAAGTACTCACAAATGTTTTAATTCAATTTGTATTTGTTCTGTGTTATTTTTATTTGTTAACTAAATTTAGTTGCTAGACTATACCTTTTTTTTTTCTTTAAAGGTTTAGATAAAAGTTCATTAAATACTTTACTATATACATGTCATATATATAGTTCTTGATCTAGGGTTTACTTGTTCTTCTATTTACATTTACAAAATGTATCCGGAACTACATTTTTCAGATCTTACATATGCTTACTTTACTTCTCATTACTTATAACTCAACAAATCCAAGTAGAGTTTGATTATCTGAGTTGATTACTTGTCACTCAACTAATTATTATTATTCCTGAATTTATTTATGTTTTTTGTTGAAAATTACAATCAACGATAAATGTGATTTTCTGACTTAATAACTGTTTGTTAGATGAGTGGCAATTTAAGAAATCAACCTGATCATTCTAGTGTTTGTGCAGTAGCTGCAGGATCGATGATATAGATAAGACAAATTCTTGATACTTATAAATTTGAAGAAAGCATGCAGAGTTCCTTCTTAGTCATTAAAAAAGAAAAATAAGACGAACAACAAGAAGATCAAGATTTGTTTATCAGAAAATTGTCAGAAATATTTATAATTTAAGCATGAAGTCATCGTTTATTTATCAAACATACTTTAATCTAAGTGATTATATTTCGTAAAATAATTAATTTGCTCAAGGTATTTTCTCCTCCTTTTTTTTGTGATTTAATTACTCTTTTATTGAAATTACAAGAATAATTAAAAGATATTTTCTCCTCATTTCTTTTCAAAATCATTGTTTTTATTATCCAACATGCTTTTATCTAAGTGCTTTCATAAAATAATTAATTTTCTCAAGGTATTTCTCCTCCTTTTTTGTGATCTACTCTTTTGATTCAAACTAGAATAATTAAAAGATATTTTCTCCTCATTTCTTTTCTAAATCTTAAATGTGCTATACAAGATTTTATTATTTTTACACAAAGAATTCAAGAAAATATATCCATGAGTAGGAGAAAATTATGAAATTAGGTTAGTCATGACATAATTTCAATTTTTGTAGTAACTAATAGTATAAAAAAAAATTCATATATGTTTTATTAAAAGAAGAGCTAAAATTAATTACTTGATTTTAACCTTGTTTGCAGCTTATATATATGGCTTCATCCAGCTGCTACAACTCCCCTTGTGCTGCTTGCAAATTCCTTAGGAGAAAATGTCTTCCTTGTTGCATTTTTGCACCTCATTTCCCACCTGAGGAGCCACACAAATTTGCCAATGTTCACAAAATTTTTGGGGCTAGCAATGTGACCAAGCTTTTGAACGAAGTCCTCCCTCATCAGAGGGAGGACGCGGTCAACACTCTGGCCTACGAGGCGGAGGCCAGAGTGAGGGACCCCGTTTATGGTTGTGTTAGCGCAATAACTTTCCTCCAACGCCAGGTCGAGCGCCTTGAGAAGGAGCTCGACGCGGCGAAGGCGGATTTAATGCGCTATGCTTCAAATTGCAATGATGTGTCACCACCATTAATTGGTTCTCATCATCATGAAGGAGAAAATATTGGATCAACACTTCATAACATGGCAATTAGTAGAAGAATGGGATATGATCATCATGGAGGAGGAGGAAGCTATTTTCCTTGGAATGATCAAAACACCTCAGGAGGAGGAGGAGGAAATATTTGAACCTAATTTTCCTAAGGGGAAAAACAAATTGTGTGCTTTATATAAATATATTGTTACTACTAGTGTGCTATGGTTTTCTAGCTAGTTCTCTTCATCACATGCAATTTACTAGCTAGACCATAAATTTGGTTCTTTTTTATAGACTTTTTAGTAGTTTTGAGCTACTAAAAAAAGTCATTGTCTAAGTATTTTATGGCTATATATTGTGTCATATTCAGAGAGTCTAGTAAAACTGTCTGTGTGTGATTGTGAAGTGTCCTATTTTGAGGGATTTGTTTATGGTTTTACTATAACAATAATAATAAATAAATAAATTATTTTATCTGTTCATTATAAAAGGACATTCTCTAGCTTGAGTTATATTACTAGCTAGGCAATTAATCATCTCTTTGTAATTTATTTGATATATATAGCATGTATTATACTTTCTTGTTTATGTTATTGGTTTCAGCTTTAGTTGTATATATGGACCACTTTTGTTTATAATGTGAAAATTAAAGCTGCTAAGCTAGTTTCAAAAGGAACTTTAAAGAAGTGAAATATATATATGCCTAGTGATTAATTCTCATCAAATTTATTACTTATATATGCATTCTCTGTCTAATATAATAACCAATACAAATTGATGAGTATGGGAAGGGAAGTAGGGAACAACTTTATCCCTAAGGTATATAGGTTACATAAAAAGATCTACTTAAAAGGTAATAACTTAAATATTGTTAAATATGTATATTTAGAGGCAATTATTATAACATTCTTAGTAAGTATCTCTAAAATATATATTGAATCTAATGATAATTAACTAATACTGGTAAAGACTTTAACACTCTTTATTAATATGTATATTTATTATCGCTAAAAGTTATTTTTGTTGTAATGATATATGCATGTAACTATAATGTCTTTTGTGAACCATTAGGGTAAATTTCACTTGTTCAACCTCAGGAAAGTCAGATTTTTGCTTCAAGCGTTGATTATAATTAAGTTCATTTCTCAACATTTATAGAGCTTTAAAATCACTATTGGGCCCCAATAATACGAACTTAATTTCCTAAGGGTTCGTGGATACATATAATATATAACGTATTTTAAACAGAGACGAATTTAGAATTTTTATAACATGAAAAAGAAGAAAAATAAGTATTAAGTGGCATTTGATCCCTAGTCTTCTAGGCTTTAGATGAACAACTCAACATTCAATTAACTGCGCACTATTTTGCCTTCTAATAGCGTTTGTGTCAGTATTATATACATAAAATATCTAATTTTATGCACGAGTTCACATGTCCAATTTTTTAGGCTATAATTTCGCCACGGGCATGTATAATGTTGCATTATTATGTGCATGCTCGTGCCTAAAATTTCTTAGATAACACTAATTAATATTCCTAACATCTCCTCTCCCACCACCCTTCTTTTATGGGTCAAGTTTGTAGAAATTCTTTTTGATAATAGATGGCGATAATAAGCCAAACTTAGATCTATGCTTGTTGCAATATCATATTAAAGTGTGTAATTATCATCCAATTCAAAAGTTTTAAGGTTGAAGAAAACAAAAAATTATTTACTTTATCTCGTGCGTCTTCAACGAATTAAAGCATGATAGTAATAATTAATAGTACCAATTTGGTGTGTGGATATATATACATACACATATGTGTGTTCTCTTGATAAAAATCCGTGTTGCTGCTGTACTTGTATATAGCAGTATAAAGATATAATACCTCCGTTTTAATTTATTTGTCTTATTTTATTTTTTAAATGATTTTTTAATTTCAACCTTTCATATGACATATTTAATCATAAAATTAAAATTATTCTGATTCATTTGATAGATCTTTAATAAATAACCACAAGAGTTAAAGTCTTATTTACTTTCTTAAATTCTATGTCAAGTCAAAATATGACAAACAAATTGAAATGGATAGAATAATATTACTCTCTCCGTCTCTTTTAGTTGTCATGTTGCGTTTTTCCAAAGTCAATTTGACTAATTTTTAAAGTTAAATTAGATTACATTAATTCGATATTTCAAACTAAAAATTTAGATATTCAAAAACTATATGAAAAGTACTATAAATTACAATTTATTGCATATTAATATGATGAAAAAATACATTGTAAAATGTTAGTCAAAGTTCTTATCGTTTAACTCTAAAAAAGAACCAATATGGGTTGTGGTGCACTGGTGGGAGTGTTTCACCCTTAACCAGAGGTCTCAGGTTCGAGCCCTGGGTATGGAGAAAATCCTGTTGGGAGAGCCATCTTCGAAAAGGCCCTGCAGAGCGCAATCCGAATTTAGTCGGAGCTCCAATGTGAGCTCCGGACATCGGGTGGGAAACAAAAAAAACTCTAAAAAAGAAAATCATGACAACTAAAAGGGACAGAGTGAGTATATGGTACTCACTATGTCTCCCAATTTATATAACTTAATTTCTTTTTTAGTTCATCTAAAAAAGAACTACACATTTCTATGATTAATAGCAATTCAATTTTCAAATATCCATTAGATCATAAATGAAATGATTTACAAACATTTATGACGTATTCAAGATCACAAATTTCAAAATTCTTTCTTTCTTAAATTTTATATCGTGAAACTATGTACATTACATAAATTGAGACAGATAAAATATACATATCTGGTTAATATTTTCTCCCCCTCCAGCTGTTGTTGTCGGAGATGAGAAACTACTCTTTTTCTGAAAAATTTTACAATGGTAGAGGCTCAACCAACAATAATTGTATGATCCTCCATTGATTAATTAACACTTGAATAATGTGTCTACTTTTTTACATTTTTACCATCTCTCTCCTACTCATCCTTCTTTTCATTCATTTTCTTATTTTCTTACTACTAATAAATATTTTTTTAACTTCATTTTCTTAAGATGTTGATATATTGAATAAAAGAATTAATAAACATTTTTTTATCACAATAACTAAAAGCGTTTTTAGGATTGAGTATTTAAAATACTCATATCATTCAATATTTTTAATAATATCAAATTAACTCAAAAATATTTAGTGTTTTCTCAATTTAGCACCTAAAAAAAATAATTAATTCAAATTTAGTTTTCCATATTTTTTTTTAATTCTGTTTTAGTTCATATATTTATAGTTATGATTTTTTTGTTTTTTTGCACATGAAACATAATATATGAACTAAATTTGAATTAATTTATTTTTTTAGGTGCTAGTAATTGAGAAAACACTAAATATTTTTGAGTTAATTTGATATTATTAAAAATATTGAATGATATGAGTATTTTAAATATTCAGTCCTAAAAATATTTTTAGTTATTGTGATAAAAAAATATTTATTAATTCTTTTATTCAATATATCAACATCTTAATAAAATGAAGTTAAAAAATATTTATTAGGATTTAGGAGTAAGAAAATGAATGAAAAGAAATGTGAGCAGGAGAGAGATGGTAAAAAGGTAACGAAATAGACATATTATCCAAGTGTCAATTAATCAATTGAAGGTCACGCATGATACAACTATTGTTGGTTGGGACTCTGCTAAAAAATTTCTCTTTTTCTTTGTATTATCAGAATTAAAATCAGGGGCGGTTGAATCAACTCTGTCAGGTTCAACATCATCAAAAGAATCACCTTTGGATTTTCAGTACTCAAATAATTATTTGCACTCGTGTGTCCTAGTTTTTTTTTTCCACTTCAAAAAAAAACAAAATTCATGATTTAATATATTAGTATAAATCTCCATATATTCATATATTATGAATTGATTTTAGACAAAAATAAATAAATAAATTAGATTGAAATATGATGAGTAAAAAATATATAAAAGTAGCATAAGTAAAAGTAGGCACTATGAGTCTAAGTCAAATTGATCAGTAGCATAAGTGGAACTCCAATTTCAAACAAAAGTGTCTGTGAAGTGTGGTCCTGCAAAGCTATAATTTTAGACAAAAATATTTAAAGTTTGATCTTGTTATAAGGCCATACTCTCAGTCAAACATGTCTGAAATTGGCAAACTAAAGTCACATTTTTTTCAGTAAAAAGAGAGAGTCCAAAATTGACATTAGCAAGCCATATATGTTTAAAGCCTTGCAAAGGCCATATCTTTAGTAAAAAGTGTAAAGTTGGTCGTGACAAGTCATTATATATCTTGAGTTTTGCCAAGGTCAAAATTTTAGTAAAGTATATCTGAAGTTGATCTTGATAAGTCCTATCAAATTGCGCGTAGAATGTTTCATATTTGATCTTCACAAGTTCATAGTTCAAACAAAAATTTCCAAAATCTACGTCTGAAGTTGTTTCCGAAGCAATTAACTTGCAAAATTAAATTAACCAGTGTGACATCAAGCAAACTATTATTTTGCTAGAACATCAGACACATACATATACCTAAATTTCAAGTCAATTTTTTGCATCTAACTTAAAAAGGAAATTATGTAACAAGGTAAAAATGTCAATATGTTTATGAAAAATAATTATAGTTTAAACAAAAAACCACTATATGTTGTATATATAGTAAACTCTCTCCCTTGCCTCCTCCCCCCCCCCCCCCCCCCAACCCAATAAAAAGGAATCCATACAAAGGTATTATGTAGCAATTGTATTCAACTAAATATATGTTAGAGTTTTGTATTTTATATCAATTGTATTAAAAAAACTATATTGATATTTTTAATGTACATTCATCCTCTCTGTCAAATGTATTATGTATCAATTATATCCAATCAAAGAGAAGATGAATACAATTGTATTCGTTGTATTTCGAATACTATTGACACAGAACACAAAACAATTATGCATTAAATAAATACATAATACAATACAAAATACAATTTTCTCTCCTGCTTCTCTCAATCTCGCTCTCCTCTTTCCTCCTAATATTATTCATTTTGATACAAATCAGTTTATTGTATTTTTTTCTCCGAGAATATACAAATGCATAGCAAAATCAAAGTATAGCTACGAATCGTAATCAATAAAATTGTAGCTAAATAATCGTATTTAACACTGATT